GCCATATACTGGTTTCTGATTGGTCGAAGCTCCGTTGTAGTTCGATTTAGTTTAAATTTAGTATGCATGTGTAATATGGCATTGCAAACTCAACTGCGACATTTGTTTTCTAATTTGACAAAATGGCCACCATATACTGGGTTCTGATTGGTCCAAATATAGATGTTGTCTGATTGTCCCCGGAATCGGTACATAAGGGTTTTGAGTGATGCCGAACACAATGGTAACAGTTTCGAAAAGCTCAGTTACCATGATAACGAAATAGTGGCCTCTGATTGGTCCAAATTAAGAAGTTGTCCGATTCTGTCCAAAATAAGTACATAAGGGTTTCTAGCGATGCCAAACACAATGGTAACAGTTTTGAACAACTCAGTTGCCATGGTAACGAAATTTGGCCCTCTGATTGGTCGAAATTTAAATGTTGTCTGATTCTGCCCAGAATTGGTGCAAAGGGGTTTAAAGGGATGCAAAACACAATGGTAACAGTTTCGAACAGCTCAGTTGCCATGGTAACAAATTGGAGTCCTCTTATTGGTCGCAATTTAGCTGTTGTCTGATTTTGCCTAAGTCCAACAGGGGTCGTTGGGGGACTTCTGTAACGGCCATCCGTTACAATTAGTACTAGTTATTAAGTCCCCCAAAACAAAGGTTTGGGGACTTATTGTTTTTACTCCGTTTCTTCTTCTTATTATTATTATTCTTCTGTGTTCTTCTTCTTCTTCTTATTCAGCCATAAACTTGTCTGGAGGTCTTCTCAGAAACTACTGGGCGGATAATCATGAAACTACACACATATACTCATTAGGGGGTCTAGGTGTGCAACAAGCTATTTTTATCTCGACCGGAAGTCCAAGATGGCCGCTATGAATTTTTGAAATTTTTGGGAATTTTCTAAAGGTGTTCGCTAAGGTTAGCCAATGTCACCCTATCCTATTTAAAATGTTTTACATATATTTTCCAATGCATTCCAAATTTGGCATGTAGGTGTATGAGGGTACCGCGATCTCAACTATGGCATTCGTTTTCTAATTAGACAAAATGGCTGCCATATACTGGTTACTGATTGGTAGAAGCTCCGTTGTAGTTCAATTTCGTTCAAATTTAGTATGTATGTGTAATATGGCATTGCTAACTCAACTGCAACATTTGTTTTCTAATTTGTCAAAATGGCCACCATATACTGGGTTCTGATTGGTCGAAATTAAGATTTTGTCTGATTCTGCCCAGATTTGGTACATAGGGGTTTTGAGGGATGCAGAAAACAATGGTAACAGTTTCGAAGAGCTCAGTTGACATGGCAACAATACACAAATATACTCATTGTGGGGTCTAGGTGTGCAACAAGCTATTTTTATCTCGACCGGAAGTCCAAGATGGCCGCCATGAATTTTTGATTTTTTCGGGAATTTAAAATTTCTTAAGGTGTTTGCTAAAGATAGCCAATGTCACCTTTGGCATGTAGGTGTATGATGGTACCGCAAACTCATATATATATATAACAGTTCCTGTGACATCAGTGACCATCACCCCTCCACCGCTGTGACTGTAGGTACCATACTGAAATGTCATTAACATTATTTGTATACATTACAGTTCCTGTGACATCAGTGACCATCACCCCTCCACCACTGTGACTGTAGGTACCACACTGAAATGTCATTAACATTATTTGTTTATATTACAGTACCTGTGACGTCAGTGACCATCACCCCCTCCACCACTGTGACTGTAGATGTAGGTATCAGCACCACACTGACCTGTACCACACAGCCACACAGTCGTCCTACGGCCAATGTCACGTGGTACCGAATGGTCAGTGGTCAGTCACAGCAGATCACCGCTAACATCAGTGTGTCACATGACACTCTGGATTCCGCCAAGACAACGACCAGTGTTCTGTCCTACGTTCCGTCCAAGGAGGACAATGGACGGACAGTGTACTGTGTATCAGACGGAGGATGGACTGGTAGTACTACTTCCACTCTGCAGTCGCAAGCGGCTACCCTAAATGTCAGGTGTAAGTGAAAAATTACTTCTTTCAGCCCATCATCATCAGATGGTGAGCTGATTCAAATCGCCCTTTGTCCTTCGTCCGTGGTCCGTCCGTCATTCACATGATTCCATTCGGCCATCCTTAAATAGTTTTTGATAGTTTCAGAAAATACCTGATGGATTCATCTCAAATTTGAAGACTCCCCATGGTCCTGAGTTACATTTGTTATTAGCAGACTATAGCTCGTGCTCAGAAGCATACTGGCATAAAAGGCTACCAAGTTTGTTGAAATGAATGGCAATCACTGTGACATATTCAAGGTCACAGGGGTCAAATATATGAAAATGTTTTAATCAACTTCTTCTTAATAACCAAAAGGGCCAAGTGATGTTATTTGGCCAGAATCATGCTTGGATGAAGGGCTAAGTTTGTTCAAGGTCACAGAGGTTATATATGTTGAAATCTTTAAAATTACTTCTTCCGTCTGAATAACCAAAAGTTCAGGGTGATGATTTTTGACCAGAGTTTGACTGGTCAATTGTGTATAAATCTTCGCAATAAACAAGGGGTATATAGGGTGGTGATATTTGGCATTCTGAGATAAACATTGTTCACGTTGTTGACTTTCAAAGTCACAGCAGTCAGATGAGTTTAAATCTTTTAATAGGTTTTTGTTAATGACTTATATAGTCATAAATACTGATATTTTGCCTGTAGCTTTAATTTAATATACTTTTAAGGTTACAAGTGTGAGATTAATACCAGGTGAGCGATGCAGGCCAAATGGACAGGACACCATGACACGTAATGTACAAGATTGATTTTTTTGAGAAATAACTTAAATTCAACTAAGTTTCTTATTTCTTTTTAGATCCACCAACCAATCCACTAACAGTGACTGGCAACAGCAACCCCCTATATAGTGGTGAAGACATTGAACTCAACTGTAGTATAAGGGGAGGTAACCCAGTAGCCATTCTGACATGGACATGTCCTGGTCGTAGCTTTATCTCTTCACCAACCAAAACAGCAGACGCGGCAGTCTCTGTACTGGGGATACGTCTGACACCTTTATATAACGGGGCCAACTGTACATGTATAGCAACTCATCTTGTACAGGGCTTCAGGACATCTCACACCGAGGTCTTCAACGTCTACTGTAAGTCTACTGTGGTA